GCCTGGGTGAGGGCCAGCTCTCTTCAACCCCACCTGCTCTCTCCTCTCCGCATCCGCAGGAGACCCAGGAGCTGCAGAAGAAGCAGCAGTGGTACCAGGAGAACCAGGTGACCTTGACGGCCGAGGACGAGGACTGGTACCTGAGTTACTGCTCTCAGGCCATGTTCCGCATCCGCATCCTGGAACAGCGGCTCAACCGGTGAGGGGGGGCGGGGAGCCGGGAGAGGACCCTCGGAAGGCTGGGTGGAGCTTTGTGAGCCCTCACCATCTCCTGTTCCTCCCTCTGATTTCAGCCACAAGGAGCTGGCCCCACTCAAGTACCTGGCTCTGGAGGAAAAGCTCCACAAGGACCCACGCCTGGTGGAGTTCCTGAAAGTCTTTGTTTGATGCTTGGCCGAAGCTGCCAGAGCAAGAACCCGCCCCCACGGCCTGGCCCCTGTGCGCTCTACAGCCAGCGATGACCTTTCCCTCCGGTGCCCGACCTCACCGCCACCCTGCCTCCCAGCAGCCCTGTCTCTCCTGCTTCTTATGATTTTCCTGTAAATAAACACACTTTCTTTCTTTCTTTTTTATGATGTTCAGTTAGCCAACATATGGTACATCATTAGTTTTTGATGTAGTGTTCAACGATTCATTAGTTGCGTATAAACACACTTTTCTTTTTTTTTTTTAAAGATTTATTTATTTGAGAGAGAGAGAATGAGAGAGAGCACATGAGAGGGGAGAGGGTCAGAGGGAGAAGCAGACTCCCCGCCGAGCAGGGAGCCCGATGCGGGACTCGATCCCGGGACTCCAGGATCATGACCTGAGCCGAAGGCAGTCGCTTAACCAACTGAGCCACCCAGGCGCCCTAAACACACTTTTCATTTGCCGTCCGTACCTCATGTTTCACAAGTTCCAGCGGAGGCTTCTTCTCCTTCCCTTCTTTGTCTATAGCCTGAGACTCCCCCCACCTTTCCCCACCCACCTTGGCCCTTTTCCTCAATTTCTCCCTCTCCTTCCCACCATTGGAATGTTGAGTCTTTGCGGCACCTCTGCAGATGGTCCCGCGGCCACCTTCAAACAACTGGTTAGATCTCAACAACGTGGCTAGGGTGGCCCAGATGACAGAGTGCGAGTGGCAAGGCCAAGGTGCATGCTCCAGAACTTGGGAGTTCCACATTAGACTGCAAAGAACAGCATCCCAGCTCCGCATCTTACCAGCCACTATGTAGCCATCTGTGAAATGGGATGGCACTGTTGTCTTAAATAAGACTTGTAAAGCAGGCAGGACCGGAAGTGGCACATAGAAAGCACTCAATGTTAGCTTAAAAAGTTGCCAATAAACACATGAAAGGGTCAAATTCATTAGTCAACCGGGATATGAAATGCCACCACACACCCACTAGTATGCATAAAATGAGTAAGAGTTGGGAGGATGAGAAGCAACTGGAACTCTCAAATAGCTTTCCCAGTGGAAGGGTCAGTCTATACAACCACTTTGGAAAACTGGCTGTATCTAGTAAAACTAAACTTTGGCTCAATTCTGCTCCTAGGTTGTGCTCCATCCACCCACCCATCCACCCTCCCCCATCCATTTATTCATCCATCCATTCAGTGACCAAGAATGATGAACAACTCAATCAAGATGCACATATACATCCACTAAAAGGCAGGTACTAGAATGTTCATGGCAGCAGCAGTATTAGTACCAAGCTGGAAACGACCCAGATGCCCATCAATAGTAGAATGGAGACATAAATTGTGGTCTTGAGACCTATTTGGTTGTCACAACTGGTATGAGAATGGTACTGGCAGCTAGTGTGTAGAGGCTGGGCATGCTGCTCAACATCCTGCAAACATCTACAAGGCACAGGAAAGCTCCCTGAAAAAGAGTGATCTAGCCTAAAATATCAGTAATAGGTTACAAAACATGAATGAACTATAACCACAAGGAATAACACATTGGGTTCCTCATATGCAATATCAAAAGATCCCAGATACAAAAAAGTACATGCTGCATGATTCCATTTATATAGAAAAAAAAAAAAAACAGGCAAATTAATTGATGGCATCAGAATAGTTGTCTCTCTTGGGGTGTAAGGAAGCACAACAGGGGCTTCTGGGATGCTAGGAATGTTCTTCTGGACCTGAGCATGTTCAGTTTGTGAAAACTCACTTTTACACTTATAGTACATGCTCTGTGGGGTAGGTATATTATACTTCAATATGAAGTGTTTTAAAATGCTTATCCTGAACCTAATCAAGCTTTAACTTCCATTTAGCAAAAAATTCAGAGGGAAAGAAACAAGGTAAATGACACTAGCAGGAAACAGTGAGACAAAAATCATAACATAGAGCAATCTACAAGGTAAAAGGCCCACTCAATCTCTTCAAAAGATCAATGTCATTTAAAAAAAAAAAAAATGAGGGACTGAAACAGAATGAGCTTAAAAGAGCCAAGTGTGGTGAATCTTGTTTATTTCCGAGTTAGGAAAAAAAACCTTTATATAGCTTTTGGGGATGATTGGGGAAATCTGGACTGGATTTCAGAGAATTCTGTTTTCTTTGGTGTGGGGATACAATGGTTGTGTAGGACAAGGGCCTTATTTTTAAGAGGTACATGCTCAGTATTTCGTGTCATTTAGGGGTAAAATGTCTTGATGTCGACAACTTTCACATCGCTCAAAGAAAACACCTACATGGTGCAAAGCAGATATGGAAAATCTTAGCAAGTGTTGGGTTATCCACCAGGTGCACTGTACTATTAAACTATTATACATCATCGTAGAATTCTTTCAAGTTTCTCTGTGGAGCTTTTCACAATAAAAAGTTGAGGGGGAAATACAGAGTGGACAGGCTTGATCGGATTTTATTCTGCTAATCTAGTTCTCTTTTGATAGTGCCCATATACGTCTCTCAACCCACTCCCCAAAAGCACAACGTGAGGGGTGGACCTTCTGCCTCTCTCTGGGAGTGAGTGCAGTTCAGTGGAGAAACCCACAGACTTTGCTTTAACAGCAAGGGTTCAAGTCCGACACCATTCTTTTTGGTCGTGTGGCCTATTACAAGCGCCTTAAATCCTGGCCTCAGTTTCCTTATCCGTAAATGGGAACAGGATTCCTACTCTTAGAGTTGTCGGAGGCGTTACGAGAGATCAAGCTGCTCCGAGCTGCAGTGATAGGCTGGCGGATAAACGGGGAGCTTCGGGGGTCTTTAGGCACCAGGCCCTGGGCACCTCCTGTGGGGTCCAGTCCCTCCTAAGCGGCTCCCGAGCGGCCCAACCACGTGTGGGGCCCAGGCTCCAGCCAGTTACGGCCGTTCCCTAAGCCCACCCTACCCACGAGGCCAATAAAGCCGGACTTCCTCGGATTTCTAGTTGGTGGTCCTTTTAAGGGAGCAGCCCACTCATCCATTCACCGACACCGCAGCCGTGGTGCAGCGCTCCGAGGCTCCGCTCGCGGCTCGGACCCGGGATCAGTCTCCGTCTCCCTGGAGGTCTCCTGTCTGAGCCAAAGAAGAGGGGCAAAGTCCTGAGGCCACTGCAGCACCCCTCCCGACTAAAGGGAAGAAGTAGGAACTATAGCAAAGGGCGAAGACCTCGTCGCCTCCTTGCCCCACGCCAAGATGGAAGGTCCGCGGCTTCACGCTGCTCCTGACGTTCCCTTCCCATTGGCTACCTGGGAATTGTTTTCCAATAAGGCGAGCGCTTATTGGTTAAATAGGGACGGTTGCTAAAGCGATTGGCACAGACGGCATCGGAGGGGTCGTCTGGCAATGTTTTCAAACGCGAACTAAGAGGGAGAGGAAGGAAAGGGGAGGAAAGGGAAAGCTTAAGGCAGAGGCGGGACCAAAGAAATGGCAGCCCTCATTGGTTCATTAGAAGCTGAGGGGCGGCTCTTGAATTCTCCTTCCTCGTGATTAGTCCAATTCAGGAAAAGGGGGCGAGTACCTAGGAAGAGCGGCAGAAGCGCCTGCTGCGATTGGTCAAACCTGGCTGGAGGTGAGGCGCTCGCGGCGGCTGATTGGTGCGGGAGGTGAGGGGGCGGGGCTCTGAGCCGGAGGTTTTGTTGTGAGGGTCGGTTGTCAAGCAGCGGCCAATCAGGGCAGGGGATGGAGGCAAGTGGGGGTCGCGCCAGGAGCGGAGCCTCGGCCTCCGGAGCCTCAGCTGCAGGTGGAGTGGGCGAGGGGGCGAGGAGGCGAGGGGGACTGTGGGCCTAATACTGGGCCGAGCCAGGCGGGGCCGAGCCGGGCTGTGGCGGAGAGGGCTCCGGGGCCGGGGGGGGCGGGGGGAGGGTTGGATCCCGTGCCCCGCGAGCTGAGAGGAGTGGGAGGATCAGGCGAGGCCGAGGGACCAGCCCCAGCCTCCGGACGGGCGGGACGGGTGTGGGGGCCGGAGGGGAAAACCAGGGAAGCCGGAAGAGGAGCCGGGGGTCTGCAGGAGGCTGAGTGATGAATAGGGACACCGGAAGCAGGAGAGTGAATGAATGGGGGATACTGATAGCAGAAGAGGAAGGGGAATAAAGCGGGTCGGGCGAGGCAGGAGTCAAGTTAAGGAGCCCAGGAGACAGGATGTGCACGAATGGGGGACACAGGCGGCAAGGAGAAGGGGAATGAACAGAGGACTAGAGGGGCAGAACTGGGGACCCCAGGAGAGAAGGGGCGGAGAAGAGAGCGTTCATGGGAAAGAGGCTTGGAAGAAGGGGGTAGAGGCTTCATGAGGTGGCCTTTTAGAGTTGGGGACGCATACTGACTCATGGTTCCCAGTACTGTCTTTGGGAATTGCAGGGACCACGAGTAGTTCCCTTGCCGCCAAAGGAGGGGTTGGACCCTCAGGGCCCTCTTTGACATTCTTCCCAGAGAAGACTTAAATGCCTGCCTTTGGAGTGCCTCTCCTGGGCCCCAAAGCTTTGCTTCTGACTCCACCCCCTTCCCACAGCGTCAGACAAACAGTGACTCCCAGAAATCTCTGTGAACTGCAGACATGTGGTCTTCCCCGCCCCACTGCGGCGGCTGCTGCACTTCGGGCAGCCAGCCTCCTGAAACAGCCTCCTCCCATCCCATCATCCTGGCCTCTGGGAGGACCTTTCTTCCCCTGTGGTCCAAGCCACCCTACCTGAGGTGCCCCCTTCCAGATTCTCAAACACGACTTGCAGTGCAGCTCCTGGCTCTGGTGGGTGTCTCTCTCTCCAGTAGCCTTGGTGATCCGGGGAGCTGCACTCTAGTTCTGCAAGCCCAGAGTTCCCTGAACTCTCACCAAGTGTTTTCTGACAAGCCATCGCCTCTGTTTGTGTTCCAGCCCAGTGCTGAACTGACATGGCTCGAGCCTGACCTTCCATAATCCGGGATCCGGACCGGCACACACAGGCCGTTGCTGTGGCTGCTGTGAAACCACGAGGCGGTCCAGGGCTAAGACAGGAGGCATTCCCTCTGCCTGGATGTGTGGGAACTCCCTGCCAACTTGATTGGCGGGTCTGGGGGGGGGGGATCCACCCCCACCCCACAAGCAAAGCACAGTCTAATTAGTGGGTGGAGCTTCAGGTGCCAGCCAACTGAAGGATGGCCACCCCTGTGGTCACCAAGACGGCCTGGAAGTTACGTGAGTGATTTTTTTTTTTCCCTTTTTCATCCATTTATCCTATTAGCTTCTTGTTGCTGGATGGCCTGAACCCCCAGCTTTATCTCCTATTCTTGGCACAGAGGGAGACTCCCAGTCTTGGAGTGAGAAAGACCAGGATGCAAATCATGACTTTGGCACTTCTTAGCGGGGTGACACTGGGCAGGTGACTTAACCTCTCTGAGGCTCAATTTCCTGTCTCTACAATGAACTAATCACACCTGCATTGTGGAGCTGCTGTGAGACCCACGCGGGGTGGTGAACATAGAGAAGCACTTAGTGCAGTTAGGCTGATGGGCGGGACTGGGGGAGAGATGCTGAGAGGTGTTCTGGCATTTGCAAACCTCTCACGGAGTCAGGCTTCCCCCTGTGAGATGGGGGAATCTTGGGGAGGGGGCTTGGGGCGGTGAGAGGGTAGGCTGAGAGATGTTGGCAGTGGTCTGGAATGTCACTGAGCACCAGCACCACCCACCCTCACATTATTCTCCACTAGTAGCTCTAAACTTTCTGATCTTAGGACCTCTTTATACTTCGAAAAATTGTTAAGGACCCCAACGAGTTTTTGTTCATGGGAGTTATCAATATTTCCATGTTAGAAGTCAATACTCAGGCATTTTAAGACACAAGAATGTACAGTTGAACATACCATTAGAGATGGTGTTATCACATGCCTTGTATCTTCCCGAAAACCCCCCTGTATGCTTGTGAGCAAACAAGAGCGTAAAAGTGAAATACCATCTTGGTATTTTATTATGAAACTAGTTTTGTTCTCTTGGACCCCCAGAAAGGATCTTGAGGATCCCAAGGTCCACCGGATCATATTTTGGGAACTGCCTTACCCCACCTATAATAACTGCTTGGCGTAGATTCGGTGTGCCCAAACTGGTCACCTTCTGCTATGAGCTGTCCCTGAGCGGTTTTCAGAAGCTGGGCAAGGCTCCTCCACTCTAACTGTGAGAACCTGGGCAAAGCCCTTTGCTGGACGTCAGTGTGCTCACAGGTAAAATGAGAGGTTTGGGTAGTTTCAAATTGTTTCTTAGCCCTAGGGTTCTGAGAGAACCCTGTTATGGGCTCCCAAGGAGGGTACACTTTGGACAGGGTGGCTTTGTATTGATTGGTGTTATGTATTCCCTCAACAGCTGGTCTTTCCTGAGCACAGAACCAAGCACAAGCACTGGGGAGATAGTTTGGGGGGGGGGGGTGGAGGAGCAGGTTCCAAAATAGATGAGGTCCCTGTGCAATGGGGCTCAGAGCCTGGGAGAGCAAGAGGCAGAAATCAGGTAGCCACACCCCTCCATTTCTCCTTGTCTGATTCCAAACTGGGACATGTGCTTTGAATCAATTAACTAGATGCTGGCAGGTGGCATAGGGGAGTGCTGTAGGCCGCCTAAACAGCATATACAAAGGCCCTGGGGCAGGAAGCTCAGCATGTTGGAAGGGCTCAAAGGAGTCTATAGGCTGCCACACAGCAGTGGAAAGAATGAGGCTATTGGGGTCTTTGGGGGCATATGTCCACAGGACCCCAGTCTTTCTGAGGCCTTGGCTCTATCTTAAAGGCAAAGTCAAGCCATCAAAGTGTTCAAACAAGAGGTAATATGATCAGGCATGTTGGACCCTGCTGACAAGTTCACGTGCATAGCAGTCTCCATGAGTATAAGCTATCTGAAGAGCCCAAAGCCAAATGACCCCTGGCTCCTTGGGCCTATAGAGTCCAGCAAGGATCAGAAGGTGCTAGGCCAACTTGAGTCATTGAAGCCTGGTTCTCTGCACCTTCCGTTGAGGATGCAAATCCTCAGCACCTCTGACCAAATGCAGTGTCCCCAGCTCTGGCTGGGACGTGGGGCCCAGGTTGTGCCAGGTGAGCTTGGGAAGCTGGTGCAGGCCTGCAGCCATCAGCCTGGCCTGCCAAGAGATGCTGTGAGGAATTGTATTTGTTTGTACTCGAATTCAGTACCCAGGCCTGGGCCACTGGGGGATGCTGTCCTTCAGGCTAGAGGGGGAGGGCTGGGGCTGATGCCCCTGCCGAGGCCTCCTCTGCCTGGTGCCCGTGGCCTACCTCCCTCTTCCCGTGGTCCCTGGCCCCTCTAGGGGCTTCAGGCAGGCTGGAGACCCTAGGCAGGCTGCTTAGAGGGGAGTGATCTGAGCCCCTCTAGAAGGGCCTAGCCTACAAATCCTTCGCACCCCAACGTCTGTGGGTCTTCAGCTGGATGCCCTGTCCCAGGACCCATCTGATCAGGCTGTAGCATGAACACAGGAACCTTCTCGCTGTCTTTCCCCACTGGCTCCCCAGTGCTGGGCCTAGAGCAGATACCCAGGAAACACGTATATTATGAATTAAGGGCTGTCTCCAGGGGCAGTAGTCCTGAGGCCCAGAGAGGAGTAGCAGTGTGCCCAAGGAGGGAGGTGGGGCCCAGCCAGAACTTTCCCTGGGAAGGGTGAGAGCCAGGGTAGACACCCAGACCTTATAGGTAGGTCACAACTGGGGGGCAGTGCATGCAGGGAGTGTTTTCAGAAAAGGAGAGAGGGCCCAAGGCTTGGGAACAGAGTGCTCAGAGAGAAGGTGGTTTGCCCTCTTTCTGAGTTGGCCAGCCACTGGGGCCCAACAGCAGCTCTTGAACCAATGAGAGTCTATGGCCAAAGCCCCAGAGCACCCCAGACATCTGTCCCTACAGTGTCCAGAGGACAGAAGGCTCCATAGTTGGGATGAGGACTAGGGAGGGTCTCAGCGCCCTTGGGTCCAGTGATGGCATCCCCGAGGCCCCCAATGACGTTTGGGCCTGCAGGAGACTCTCACCTCTGCTGGGGCTGGGTGCTGCCCGTCCCTGGCTTTGGCCAGGCTGGGCCCTGAAGTGGGGCGTCATCTGGGGTCTGGCAGTTTTGACAACCCCTCTGAGCCATGTTGCCTGACAAACAGCCTTTCTGGGCCCTGTTTCCCAGTCTGAAGCCCGTACCACAGAGAGCCCCAGGCGGGGCGGAGGCGGGAGCTGGAGCGTGGGAGAGGCCTTCTGCGGAACAACCGCAAGCCCTTTCCCTCCCGTCAAGCCAGCCTCCCAGTTGCCTCAGGGTGTCGGCACATTTGGAGTTTCCCTTTGCTGGGGCGGGGAGACCTGTCTTTTTGTCCTCCCCGTTCCCAGGAGGAACTCACTTAGGGCCTGGCTTGGAGGCCCGGGCTGCCTCTTGGTTCCTTGCTCATGTCTTCTCTGGAGCCCTGACGAGACCCTCCGTGGTCCATGTTGGCTGCTCCCCGCTGCTTCCCCAGCAGCCCGGGTCAGGGGCCCTCCCGGCTGCCCACCATGGCCATACCGCCCACTCTGTCTGGTCATCCCTCACTCCCGCCCCTCCTCCCCAGGCCTCTCAGTCGGCTGCCTCCTGCCACCCACCCTCATGCAGCCCACCCTCCTGGGCCTGCCGGGGTCCCCGTCACCCACCGTCTGTGCCTTAGCCTTACTAACAACACCAAGCACAGCCTACAGCATGTGCTCGGTGGGTCCGCAGCAACTCAGTGAGGCAGGCACTGTTATTATCCCCGTTTACCGCTGAGAGGGTGAGTGACTGGTCCAAGGCCACACAGCCTGCAGTAGCAGAGCTCAGACCAGAACCTCGTCCAGGATTCTGAAGCTGCGGGCTGAAGCCCTGGGTGAGCTCACTTGGAGACAGCTTGTCGAGAGTGGACCCGAATGGTTCTCAATGTGTGTTCCCCAAAGTGGGTTTACGTGGATAGCAAGCAGCAGCAGAGATGCTTAGGTGGTTACACGAGTCAATATTTCATTATAATAATTGTTTTTCGTTTTGTATTCTAGAAAAAGCATAATGAACGTATCAGTCTTGTAATTTATGGATTTTATTGCTTGTCTTTATGTAGACAGAGCTAAATACAGAAGGCAAGTCAATGTTTTAAATTGAGCAGAGTAAGCATAATAATATTACCAGTTGACGTGCAGAGACAAGAGCAAATTGCGGCCTGAGGGTGGGACAGGAATACCTGAAGTTGGGAAGTAGTCGTTCCTGCCTCGGGTGCAAGGCCTGCCCTCGCAGCCAGCCTTCTGGGTCATGCCGGGGTGTCTGGCACCAAAGGGGAGCTGAAGTGGGCAGACCCTTCCACCTGGGCTTCGGGTGCCAGGACCAGGGGCCGCGCTGGGCAGTGCCCAGCCCTCTTCCCCGAGGCCGCAACTAGCCCTCTGACTGCCTTCTCCTCCTGTCCTTCCTTGTGTAGAGGAGATTGTCGCCCATGCCAGCAACGTGTCCTCGCTGGTCCTGGGCAAGGCCTCCGGGCGGCTGCTGGCTACCGGTGGGGACGACTGCCGTGTCAACCTGTGGTCCATCAACAAACCCAACTGCATCATGGTGAGCCTCGCTGGTGGGTGGGGAACAGGGCAGAGGCCCAGGGAGGGGGCTGCGGGCGGGGCGGGGTTAGGGGGTGGGGAGCACGCAGCTCTGCAGGCTCTGTCAGGCCCAGGGCACCCAGCGGGAGGCTAGGGGGACACAACACAGCATCAGTGCCCGCAGGATGGCTGGGACCGTGGCCAGCCCTCATGTATTTGGAGGTCCCCTGGTGGTGGACAGAGTTCCAGGGAGCCTGTGTGAGAGAGCTAAAATAAGCCCATGGGCCCGAGATGGAGGCTCACCCAGTGGCCCATCCGTCCACCTGTCAGCAGCACTCGGAGGTTACTTTGAACCATCGCCTATCTGGTTCCACAAAAAAGGATTTGCGGGCACCTGGCTGGAGCTGGTTGGAGAGCTGGTTCTTTAATAGCACTTTCCCCCTGGTCACACAACGAATTCCTTGCCCAAAACTGGAAAATCTAAAGGAGGAAAAAATACAAAAGTGAATTCTATCTATTCCCATCATCCAAAGACCACTACACTTGGTATTTTGGTCTGTGTCCGTCTAGGTGCTGGTCCATCTAGATCATAGGCACGCACACGCGTGTACACAGACGCGTGCAAACACCTACCCATGTGCACCACGTGGATGTAGAACAGTACATTTTTGGAACACTGTCTTAACTCTCCTGTAGCCTGGGTTTTGAAGAGAACAATCTTTATTGTTTGCGAGCAATTTCCAATGTCAACAAATACCCTTCTACAACCTGGTTTTTAATGGCTTCGTGGTATTCCATTGTAGGGATGAGCCAGAATTAGCTTCGCCGCGCGCCCTGTTCCCAGCATAAAAGTCATTTCCAGCGTTTTGGCTCTGCTCAGCCACGGAGGTGAACGTCCTCATCTCCCTCAGTCTTTGAGCAGATCTGTGATGCTTGCATTATCTGGGGGTGTGCACTTTTTAAAAAGCTTTCAAAACATATTGCCAAATTGCCCTCCAGAAATCAATTTTCATTCTCTCCAGCAGCATAGGGACCTGCCCTCTCCGCCTTCATGACCTTGGCAGCACAGGGTATTAACATTCTTTTGATTCTTGGCCACGAAAGATAAAGATAAAAAAGGATGGGAAGGGATTTTTTTTTTTAGTAGCAACTTAATCACCTCAGTAATTCTGTGAGATGCAGCCAAGGACTGAGTCCCAGCTGAACTGGGGCCCAGGTGAAGAGCAGACTTGAAATTGCTTTGTTTTGTTTCACTTTGTTTTCAGGCTTCCAATGTGTCCCACCCCCACAAAATGCCAAAGTAACATACAGATGGAAAACGAGCCAACAAACACTGGCCAAAACGGGCCTGAAGTGACCCCATGCTCTCGTCCCACTTCTTACTCCGGAGTCAGCCTGCAGGCCTCTGAGTGCCGCAGACCCAGCGACTTCTTGCTCACCCTGATTTAGACATATACTAGTTCCCTCTATATGGTCCACGTCTAATGGTCTCTGTGTGTTCTGAGCACACGTGAGCTCGTATAGCTCAGTGTGCAAGGGACACGGGGCAAGAAGTAAGAAGTCTTCTTTCCTCCCCTGACCCCCACATCCCTCTCTGGGGACGACCACGGCCCCTGATTACCCTGTGTCTTTCCAGAACTATTTTCTACATCTGTGAGCAAATATGTAGATCTGTTTTCTTCCCCGTCCCCCTTTTTTTTGTTTATACAAACAGTATCCTATATACACCGTTCTCCACCTTTTTTCACCTAAAGTATCATGGAGATCAGTGTTTATCATCTTCAGATGGTCGCCTCGTTCATTTTTATAGCCAAATAGTATTCAGTTGCGAGAGTGACTGCAGCTTAGCGGACCAGTTTCCTCTGGTGGGCATTTATATAGCCTCTGGTCTTCTGTGAGAAAGATTCCCTGCGGGGAATGACCTTGGGTCTGTTTGGCTTGCCTTGCGCTTGAGCGCGTGCAGGGTAAGCTCCCTGGGGTGGAGTTGCTGGTGTGCAGAGGATGTGGATTTCTAAATGTGGACCAATTTTGCCCAGTTGCCCCCCCATGGAGTTTATCCCCATTTGTACTCCCGCCGGTGATGGCTGGGAGTCACAGCTGCTTGTGACTGGCCTTTGGGCAGTTCTGCTGGGGAGCGGTTTCCCCTACCGCCCCTCCCTGCCCCCCCAGAATGTTGTCTTAGCAAACAATGATGGCGTCTCCGCTGTGCTTTGGGGTGACCGGTGCTGGGCGGGGAGTGACAGATGCCATGGACTTCAGATTCCGGCCTTCTCTCCCACCCCTCTCAGGGGCTGGGCCAGGACCTGGCTCAGCCCTGCTCCGGCTCTGGCCTGCACCGAGTTGGGTGACAGTTTTTTCCAGTAGTCACTATAGGCTCTCTCTGGGTTCCACAATTCCCTGCCTAGGAACGTGGCAGGGACCTCTACCAGGGACAGCCACCAGGGACCCAGGCATTCCGGAGGGGTGAGATGTGTGCCATTGCGAGCCGGGCCTTGGTTCTGTTGGGGTTCTCCCACGGAGGGGCTTGGCCGGGCAGAGTGGAAACAGAAGCAGAGCCTAGGTGGGCGGTGGTTTGGACTCAGGGCTGGAGGGTCAGCTGCTCCCCCCCTCCAAGGGGCCCAGGACCATTTTGGCAAATGATGCCCACATCAGGGGCACAGTAGGCCGTCGGAAGGGGTTGGGGCATGACGGGTCTGGCCCACTTTTAACCCTGGAGGCCGAGACCAAGAGAAGCAGCTGCCCAGCCCATCCACAGAAAGGCCTAGATGCGGCTCCATGGAGCACAGCCTCCCTGCTCGAGCCACTTCTTGCTGATGCCCTTCCCAGGGAGCCAGGATGTGGGGCAGCAGCTGGGGGGTTTTCCACGCAAGGCACTGAAGCTGCTACCCTCTCTCCACAGAGCCTGACGGGTCACACGTCCCCAGTGGAGAGTGTCCGCCTCAACACCCCGGAGGAGCTCATCGTGGCCGGCTCCCAGTCAGGCTCCATCCGCGTCTGGGACCTAGAAGCTGCCAAAAGTAGGCATCTGCGCTTGCCTTCCCCACATGCACGCCTGCGGCCGTGTTGTCTCAGGCTCTGCTATTGAGCTGCTTCCTCCGGGAAGCCTGTCCTGACTACACTGGGTGCTTCCCTCCTGGACACTCTGACCAGACAGTGTGGCGACTGCCCACTCCCTTGAGCCTAGCAGCAGCAACATACCGTTGCCGTCTCTGAGTGCTGATAACCCAGGAGGCACCAGGAAGGGTCCAGATGGACTATTGTGGATGGATGGGTGGGTGTTTGTGTAGATTCAGAACCTGGAAGAATATCACTGCCGCCAGGGGCCATGCAGGACACGTAAACAAGTGAGGGGGCCTGTGGGGGAGAACTGGGGGGTTATGCCCTGACTTGGTGCAACCGCCCCTTAGCCTCGGCTAACTATTGCCTGCAGGAACGGGGCCTTAGGTGGCAGATCCTCTGTCTCCTTGAGCTTTGTTTTCGTTTCTATAGAAGTTACACATAATTTAAAAAGTCAAATGCCAGCCATTCTACAAATAACCACGATGGAAATGAGAAGCCTTCACCCCATTCCTTCCCATTCTCCAGACACCTCAGCCTTCTGTCTTGCTACCTCCCTTTCCTAAGCAACATGGTATTATGGCAATTCCTATCTCTTGCTGCCTTCCTCCCATGCAAGACAAGAAGGTAGTTCTCCTAGGGGCGCCTGACTGGCTCAGTCGGTGGAGCATAGGACTCTGGATCTTGGCATTGTGAGTTTGAGCCCCACATTGGGTGTAGAGATTACTTAAAAAAATAAAATCTTAAACAAGCAGTTTAGAGCTTAGACCTTAGAGCTGCTGGCCCACCCTTGTCACTCCCAGCGTTGCCCCTCTGTTCTCCTAATTGCTCCGTGTACATCGTCAGTATTTCTGGTACCAGGCCCATAGCACTGTTACTCACAGCTGATTGTGTTTCTTCTAGAGTTAAGAGCTGTTCTTTTTCCATCTGTCTGTGTTTTACATCTGTTACTAATTCGACCCCAGATTCTCTGCCAGAATAGTAAGCCTTCTCCTTGAGCTACGCTCAAAGCCATCCCATAACTGAGGCGGCTCTTCTCAGAGCCTCTGTCCCCCGGGTCCCAGTGGCGGGGGAGCACCCGGGCCTGCAGCCCAGCCGCCATCTTGGGGCCGCCTTGTCTTCGGGGAACTCTCGTCTCTGTGCTGTGCCAGACTCCGCATTATCATCTTTCTCGGTTTTCTGCCTCTTTTTTTGCTGGAGCACATTTTCATAGCTTGCTGAGAAAGGGTGTGTGACCGGCACAGTTTTAGAGACCATTGGTGGCTGAAAATGACTTTATTCTACCCTCATCCTTTATTTTTTTTTTCTTAGAGTCTGTAGAAGTCTAGATTGGCAATTGTTTTCCCTCAGAATTAGAAGGTGCAGCTGCGTTGCATGTTAGGCTCCTGTTTGGTGGCTGTTGGGAGGTCCGTGCTGTCTCCTCCTCCCTCGCGTGGGACCTGCTTCTCCCATCTCTCTGCGAGCTCGTAGGCTGTTTGTCCCAGTGTCCTGGGGTTTTGCGGTGATGACCCTTGGTCCTCTGCTAGATCCTGACCGGGTTCTTTCCGTGTGTCAACTCGTTCCGGGCCATGTGGGGTCTCGCCTTCCCGAAAAGGGGGGCTCTCAGACTCCGTGGGTGCGGCCACACGGCAGTGTGGGCCCAGTGTGGCCAGCCGTACGGATATTTCAAGAGAAGCTGGGAATCTGGACATTTAAGTGGAAATCCGCTCCCCTCCCCCCCACTTCTAAATGTTGACAGCTAATTCAACATTTTTTTCAGAACACTGTGCAGAGCAGCCCTGAGAGGCGCAAGTAAACCAGTTTGCTGGCTGCTTCTTGCCGGCGTCTAGCCTGGACCTTCCAGCGTGCCGGGCGGGAGGGAAGCGCTGGTGGGGGGTTTGCGGAGGCTGCTTTGTCCAAACGAGAGCCCCCTTGCCTGGCTGAGACTCCGAGTCTCTCCGGGCCTCTCCTGGGCTGTGGGCTCTACCACCGTTGCAGGACGGCAGGCGTCAGCCACGCATGCCTGGTGGCCGGATTCTCTCTGCTCAGGACGGTGCTCTTGCTGCGCGGGTGTCCTCAAGACAGATGGCGCCCCTGGGCCTCTCGGGTGACGCTCGCCCGCCCCCTCCCCCGGAGACGGGTGCATGTGAGACAGCCGGTGAGGTGACAAACCGGGGCTACGTGCTCGGCGTCCCAGCACGCCACTCCTGCTGCCTGGCCACGCGTGAGGGAGCAGAAAGGCTCAGCCAGAAGGCAGTTTGCTTCCTGGGACGTCTCTGCTTGGATCTGAGCCCCCGTGGACGGCTCCAGCCATTCACCGTTCACTGAGGAGCAAGGGACAAAAGAGAGAAGCCGAGGCACCACGCTTTCTCAGCCATGACTACTTCATAAGGGAAACGTGAGGAGTTCCTTGAGGCGGGCAAAGAATGAAAGCCAGACACCTGTGGGATTCCTGGGCCCTGGAGTCTCAGGGTTGGCTACTCTACAAGGAGCTCGTTTCAAACACTTGGCGCAGACCCCATGCCCAGGGAACCTGATTCAGTAATGGCAGAAGCCCCAAATCTGGCTTTTAGTAAGCTTCCAGATGATTCTGATGCAGAGCCGGGTTGGCAGGGCCCCCTTATTTGACACATGGGCAAACTGGGGCCCAAGGAGGGTCCCCGAACTTGATAAGGATCCCATGGCTGGGGTGGTGGAAGCTGGGATGCAAATCCTGGTGTCAAGATTCCCATCCCAGTGCTGTTCGCTCTGCCATTCGAGGGGTTCAGTGATGGAACGGAGACTTGCCCTCAGCGGCCTTGGTGGGAAGAGCTAAGACCACAGGCCGACCTCCACTCCCACCCACCACAGCTTGAGTGAAAATGAGGGGCAGCTGGGCACTCAGGTGCCGAGGGGCTTCTAAAAAGGGCTGGCTGAGCATCACGTGGGTTGCATTGAAGGCAGCCCGTTGCTGGAGAGTTTGGGCGGAGGTTGAACAGCTATCAGCTGGGAGGGCGTGGAGGTTCCCACACAGGGCAGACAGATCCAGGACGCCCCTCCAGCCAGCAACTCCTGGATCCTGCGACTGAGTCCTGAGGTAGGACGCCTTCCAAGGGCCCTCCCGGGACAGAAGAGCAAGGGCAGAAGTCACGCCGGAAGAATGTGGTCCTGCCTGCTTCCACGTCGCAGCCAGAGGGCAGGGGTGGGTCAGCCCAGCCATCCCACAGGAAGGTAGCCTGCGTTTCATGAATCTGGCCCACACAGGGGTGGAACTTGCCGCATCCTCTCGGGGTAAGGCAGGATTTTGGAAGCCTTGCTGTGGGATGCAAGGCAGTGGGCTGGGAGGTGGGCATGGACTGGAGCAGGGACCAGCATGTGTGTGGCCCCTCTGGGCCCCGGACTTGGCCAGCAAAGCCGTGCGTGAGCCCCCGGTGGCGTATGACCGCTCCAGAGTGTGGGGAGGAGCGGCTGAGGTTTTGGTGTGGTTGAATTAGCTACTGGACAGACGTGGCAGGCACCTTGTCACACCCTGTGAAGAATGTAAAGGCGGCTTAGTCCCGGCTCGGCAGGGGACTGGTGCCTGCTGCGGAGTGGCCCCAAGTAGGATGGGTGGATGTGGTGGGCTGTGGGCAGAGGGGTGCACTTTGTCCTGGAGGCAGAGAACCACCAGAGAAGCTCACTTCTTCCTGCCTTTAGGTGTGCCTGGCTCTGTCTTAGGAGCCCTAGACAGATGAGCTCCCTTGACTCAGGTAAAGGGTCACATGGTAAAGCCTGCTTCTCAGGACTCCGATGCCTGCTTTAAATTCTGGCTCTGGGCCCTGCTGACCGGCCTGAGGCAGGCTGCTTCACCCTCTGAGCCTTCATCAGCCCGCCTCCTGGTGCTGTTTGTGGGGGTGGGGAGCTAATGTGCTGAAGTCATTCAGGCTGTCCTCTGCACCCCAGACGTGCTCAGCAGCCGTCCTGGGGACGCGGGAGGCGTCCAAATGGCCGTGGCACTGAGTAGTGGTCATCACTGGTGCCAGAAGACAGAACCAGGACAGGTGCTCTGAGGCTGGAGGAGAGGAGAAGGTTCACTTTGGGAGATGGAGGAAGCAACTCTCATGCAGAAAGGAATGACCGCAAGAATAAGTAACTGGTATTCATTGAGTACTTAACTGTGTGCACGCCCATGCTAAGCACCTTGTATCCTACTTTCTTGCTTAACTCTGATCATGACCCACCGTGAGGCTCAGAGAGGGTAAGGGATTGCCCAGGGTCACATAACAAGCGACGAGCGGAGCAGGACTGCTCCCATTTCTGTCTGGCTCTAGAGCCCTGGACCTGCGTGAGGGATGGAGAGTTTAAATCACTCAGTGCCCGGAGCTCAACTCTCTTGTCCCTAAAGCATTACATTTGGAGTTTGCTTGAACACCCCCTCCAGTGGAGAGCTCATCGCCTCACAAGGCAACTGTTTCACCTTGGCTCAAACCTAAGGATGGCTGGATTCCCACACCCTTGGCCCCTGTACTTATGGGATGATCAGTTTCATTCAGACAGCAGAATTATAAATCTCCTAAAAAGGGAGACACTTGAGGCCAGAGAGAAGAGGCAGACTCGAGTGTTACCAGGGAACACTGTGAGATGGAAACACAAGGTTTGCTTGTGGGCCAAGCTGGGCTTGGCCACGGAGGTGCAAGCAAAACCTGGAGGGATGGGAGCTGAGGTTTCCCAGGGCAGCAGGAGCTGACTTGCCCCAGTCACGTCCTCTGTGTGTTCTCTCGGTTCTCACAGCACCTCACTCATCCTCACAGCTACCCTCAAGATCCCTTGGACAGGGGGCTGCTGTGCTCAGCACAGCTGCTCCAGGCGTGCCCTCCACACTGCCCTCCTTGGGGCCTTTGCCCACCATTTCCCTCTGCCTAATATCCTCCCTCACCCTCCACTCACGGACATCCTGTTCAAATACAGCCTCCTCCAAAAAGCCTTCCTGGATTTCTCTCTTCAACCAAGCAGCTTCTCCCCCAGCATGGACCTCTCCTGCCTCCCTCTTCTGTCTCAGCCACGGCGGGATGGCCAGCAGAACATAAGCGGTCTGTCTGTCCATGAACTGAGTGCAGTAGTTTTCCAGCTCTGCAGTCCAGGAACAGCGCCCTTGCGAGAGCCCAATGGGACGAGCCCGGGGGCACAAGCTACAGGGGGCTCGGGTCATGACAAATGGCTGTCACCTCTCGGGACAAAAATAAGGCCAGGTGTTGGGGTGGCAGGACTCTGGTTGAGTTGTCTCCGTGTTTCTAAAATCGCTGCTGTTTTGGTTCTCTGTGCAGTTACCATGGAAGCACAGCCCCGGGACCACCACAGCCCCCGCTCTGCCAGGTGCCTGGCTTGCCCCTCACGCCCCTGTCTCTGCTCTCTTCCTTGGCAGTTCTTCGCACGCTTATGGGCCACAAAGCCAACATCTGCAGCCTGGACTTCCACCCATATGGCGAGTTCGTAGCCTCGGGCTCCCAGGATACGAACATCAAGGTGAGACCCTGTCGGTGCCCCGTGTCCCCCACTGGGCCAGCGGTGAGCCCTGGACTGTGCGTCCAACCTGAGGAGCGGGCCTTTTGGCACTGTGGGAGGGCCTCTTCCCACTGTGGCTGTGTCCACAGCCTCCGAGGGAGGGGGATGTGGAAAAGTTCGCCAGATGTTTCTGCTCAGAATGCCCAGCTTTCACGAGCAGTTTCCAGATTCCTGTCATTTTGGGGTGTAATGACCTGGGGTGCCCGGAACCCCTCTCTGCTCGTGGCTGCATACCACCCTTTGACCCAGGCTCCCAGATGGGGCTTGGCAAGGCCTCTGCAGCCCAAGCCCACCTTGGTCGTGACCTGTCCTGACTCTGCCCCCCTGCTCTTCTCCCCGCAGCTCTGGGACATCAGGAGGAAAGGCTGCGTCTTCCGATATAGGGTAAGGAAGGAGCCCTTTGGCGATCATTCCGTGAGCAGCATGTAGGCGTGGACGCCGGGGTAGTGCCCAGACCCTGGCCGGGGCTGGCAGGGATTGCCGTCCAACATGGGGGAGAATGTGAGAAACGAGAGTCCAAGTGAGAAGCAGGAATCTCGACAGAGCAGGAGTGCTGTGGATCCCCCGCTTTCCATGAATCCTCCCAGCGTGGTGTTTACCAAACTGTGCTCCATGCTCTGGTTCCACAGGCAGATAACTGGTGTCGTTTGGTGAAGAGGGTTCCTGTTCCTATGTCTTTGGAAGCACTGAGATGAATATGTAATTCTGGTGGTTTTTAGATCCTTGACATTAAGGGAAGACCCCTAACTCTCCAAAAAGAGGCATAAGATATGTCGTTTCCCAGACTATCTGAGCAGGAAATCGGGATTTCCTAGAGCATCCTGCAGCACTGGGAATGGTGACTGCGTGGGGTGGTGTCCGTCTGTGAGCTCTCCAGCGCACGGCCGTCGGCTTCTGCCTCGCCTGCTGGTCCAGGGCAGGGTGGAGCAGGGCGTGGAGGAGGGCAGCGCATCGGGCCCAGGCCCGCAGGTGAGCTCAGCGCTCTGTCCTCCGCTCAGGGACACAGCCAGGCTGTGCGGTGCCTCCGGTTCAGCCCTGATGGGAAGTGGCTGGCGTCGGCCGCAGATGACCACACGGTGAAGGTAGCTCCTGGCCTGACATGGGCCCAGGGACTGGGGACTGGGGTCTGCTGAGCGCACTTAGGCCGGGTCCTCGCCTCCCGCCTGATCAGGTTCGCGTATCCCAGGCCGGTCCGCGGTGGAAGGCGGCTTGTAGATCAAGGGCAGGCTGGGGGTGGTGGGGAGGGGGGAGTGGCAGGAGTTGAGGGAGGAGTGGGCAGCCGAGATCCCGAGCCTGGTCCTGACCTTCCGCCTGCCCTGCCCCAGCTCTGGGATCTGACTGCTGGCAAGATGATGTCCGAGTTCCCTGGCCACACGGGGCCTGTCAACGTGGTGGAGTTTCACCCCAATGAGTACCTCCTGGCTTCTGGTAGCTCGGACAGGTGAGGAGGAGGCCTGTCACCCGTGACTGCCATCTCTCACATCTCTGTCTCTCCGTCCCGAGGTGTTCTCTGCCCCCTGATGCTATGTAGACTGACCTGATATCCAGCCAAGCCAGGATGGAGCCATGGTCCCATCTCTCCTGAACCCTGGTTTCCCCAGTCCCAGTGTTCTGGGCTGTCATGGCGTGTCCAGATCCAAAGCCCATGCTCACCTCCCACCGGCCAAGTCCCTCCGCCTGCTGCGCAGGGTCAGCCCCTGGCCCCAAGCATTGCTCTCAGTGGCCCCAAGCCCGGGGAACAGGCGTCTGCAGAGAGGTGGGCTTCCCGGGCCATGGGCCGGCGTGGAGGCCACCACGGGGACACCAGCTTCCCAGCACAGCCTGACTGCCTTTGCAGGACCATCCGGTTCTGGGATCTGGAGAAGTTCCAGGTGGTGAGCTGCATCGAAGGAGAGCCAGGGCCTGTCAGGTATGCAGGCAGCCGGGTGGTGGGTCTGGGTCCTCCCGCCGGGCGGTTGGACATGGGTGTGGGCTGTGGGTGGGCCTTCCCCATGCCCGCTCCTGCTCCCTCTGTCCGGGGCTCCCCACAGCCTCCCTGGCTCTCTCGGGACCCATGGCCCACTCTCGCCTGGCCTAGGAGCGTCCTCTTCAACCCCGATGGTTGCTGCCTGTACAGCGGCTGCCAGGACTCGCTGCGCGTCTACGGCTGGGAGCCTGAGCGCTGCTTTGACGTGGTCCTAGTCAGCTGGGGCAAGGTCGCTGACCTGGCTGTCTGCAACGACCAGCTGGTGAGAGCGCCACCCCCTGCCCTTCCCCTGGCCGCCCGCCGCCTCCCCTCGGGCCCCCAGCGCCCCCCAAGGCCTGCTGGGGTCCTGCCCACCCATACCCCAGCTCTGCTGCTTCCTGCAGATAGGTGTGGCCTTCTCACAGAGCAACGTCTCCTCTTACGTGGTGGACCTGACGCGGGTCACCAGGACGGGCACAGTGGCCCAGGACCCCGTGCAGGACAGCTGGCCCCCGGCACAGCAGCCGGCCCACCCCAGTGCCCCTCTTCGGCGCATCTATGAGCGGCCCAGCACAGCCTGCAGCAAGCCTCAGAGGTGGGGTGCTAGGAGGCGGGCCGGCACTGGGAAGGCTTTGTGGGGCCCGGCCCAGGCTCACCGGGCCGGCCTCCCATCGGCTTGGTGCCGCCCCACAGGGTGAAGCAGAATTCGGAGAGCGAACGCCGCAGCCCCAGCAGTGAGGATGACCGGGACGAGCGGGAGTCTCGGGCCGAGATCCAGAACGCCGAGGAGTACAACGAGATCTTCCAGCCCAAGAACAGCATCAGTGAGGCCCGCCCCCTGCCCCCGACCCCACCCGGCATCCCCATCTGTGCGTGGAGGCAGATGGTGCTTTATGGGCACAGTGTCGAGTAGCTCTGCTTCCAGGTCTGGATTCCCAGCTCACACCTGAGCCCCAGGCTCTGTTCCCAGGTCCTCGAGGCCCCAGCAGAAGCCCAGGAGCCGCTCAGTGCCCCAGCCCACTGAGCGAAGGAAGGCCCCACGAGGGCAAGTAGATGGGCAGGGCAGGCCTGAGGGTTCTGGGACTGGGAACAGGGTTATGGGTCTGAGCTGTGCGTGTACCTGGGAACCACCCTCCACCCCCGCCCCCCCCCCCCAATGTCCCAGGCCAGTCCGGGCCAATGTGAGTCCCCAGCCCCCTTTGCCTCTGCAGGTCGGACACCACCCCGAAGAAGTGAGCCCTTCCCGGCACCCCCCGAGGATGGTGAGTCGGGGAGCAGAGCCTGCCCTCCCCTGCCCTGGCACCATCTCCAGCCTCTCTCCCACTAGATCTTTTCCCTCTGCTCACCCAGAAGCACCTAACTGTGCGCCAGGCCCCACACTAGGCCCTAGTGCTGGAGCCTGAGCAAGGCGGTAGGTGCTCCCCTCAGTAGCCCGCACCCTAGTGAGCGGAGAGCTGGCAGACAGCGACCCGGCTGTGTCTGCAGAGGGGCCGGTGCTGCAGAGGCAAGGGCAGGGCAGGGTGAGAGAGGGCCGCGGAGGGCCTACAGGAGGAGGAGCTGGCAGAGCTGCAGGTGGGAAGGGGGTGGGAGGAGGGCAGGGCCTGGGGCCCAGGAGCAGGAGGCCAGGCCCTAGCTGGGGGCTTGGGTTTTGCTGCCTTATGATTGGAGAAGCCAGGGTGGGGCACCCTTGTAGATTGGCTCTCCTTTCCACCTGCTTTCTCTTAAAGGAGCCATCTTATTCTCCCTCCAGGTGGGGTTTCCTGTGCTTCCCACTCAGCATCCCCTCACTGCCAGCCCCTCCCATCGCCCTCTCCCCACCCTGCCCACACACACTCCATTCCCAGGGATGTGATGGGATGGCCACTCCTGGGAGCTCCCTGGGTCCCATCCACACGCGGTGCTGGACACCTTTCTAACAGGTGGTTGAGTAGGTGGAAAGGGAGGGGACAGGTCCAGCTTCCAGGAGGCCTCCCCAGGAGTCCCCCGACCCCCTCACCCCCCACATACACACTGCTGATGTCTCCTTCCTCAGTTGCCCCACCGGCTCCTGCTCCATCTCCTCCCCCCACCCCCCCGCAGTTACAGGTGCCCCCCAGAGACCCACCACAAGCCCTGCCTTCTTCCTGCCAGTCCCTTCTGGCCTGACCTGACCCAAAGATCTTTCCCTTTTGCCTCCAGACATGGTCTCAGCCAAGGAGGCAGCCAAGCCCAACCCTGCCACGGACTCGCAGTTCCCGGTGCCAAATGTAGGTCTAGGTGGAGAGGTGCGGCACGGTGTGGGGCTGGGAGAGGGGCCGCAGTCCTGAACCCAGGTTGGGGCCCTCCATGCCAGGGTGGGCAGAGAGGGTGGCCTTGGGCTGGCTCCCCACTGAGCTCCGGACCCCACCAGCTCGAGGTCCCGCCCCGGCCCCCGGCTGTCACTTCCACTCCTGCGCCCAAGGCCGAGCCCACCATCATCCCCGCCACACGGAACGAGCCCATCGGGCTGAAGGCCTCTGACTTCCTGCCCGTGAGTGGGGGTCCAGCCTGAGGGCAGGGTGGGGGCCCAGGGGGCAAGGGCGGAACTTTACCGCCAGCACCTGAGCGCTCGTCCCGCACAGGCCGTGAAGATCCCCCAGCAGGCGGAGCTGGTCGACGAGGACGCCATGTCACAGATCCGCAAAGGCCATGACACCATGTGCGTGGTACTCACCAGCCGCCACAAGAACCTGGACACCGTGCGGGCCGTGTGGACCACGGGCGACATCAAGGCAAGCGCTTACCCCCAGGCTCTGGGCCGTCCCCAGAATTAAGCTGCGCCAGGGTGGGCCGTGGGGCTGGGTGGCCCCTGTCACCACGCAGTGGCTGACTTTGCGTCCGTTTCTGCCATCGTCATCATCACGAGCTGCCATTTACTGACCGCCTCTTTACGGGCCTGGCCTCACACTCGTCATCGTAGCTGCAGTCTTGTTAACAGCCCACAACAAAGCCCATCGTTACGCCGCGCGGGCAGGGGCCGGGCCGTCCCCGTCCCCTCTGACAGGCGCTCTGTTTGCACAGACGTCGGTGGACTCGGCTGTGGCCATCAATGACCTGTCGGTGGTAGTGGACCTCCTGAACATTGTCAACCAGAAAGCGTGAGTAGTCGCGGGGGGCGGAGCCGGCCCGGTGGGCGGAGCTGGCTGCTAAGGGCCCCTGGCCCTGGCCTCTCCCTAGCTCCCTGTGGAAGCTGGACCTGTGCACCACCGTCTTGCCGCAGATCGAGAAGCTTCTGCAGAGCAAGTATGAGAGGTATGTGTGGGGAAGCCATACTGGCCTCACGGTGGGGACGGAAAGGGGCAGGACGCTCCTCAGGGACAATGGGAAGGCCCCCTAGGGCCGGCGCCCCTGTGAGTGTGTGGCGCCACGGCCAAGTCGGAGAGGCCACGGTGGAATCGAGTCTGTGCTGCCCCCAGCCCTCTGCCCTCTGCCTACCACGTCTGTCTTTGTGTACCTTGCTCTCTGTTGATCCTTCTGTCTGTGGCTCCATCCGTCCGCCCCTGAAGCTACGTGCAGACCGGCTGCACCTCCCTGAAACTGATCCTGCAGCGGTTTCTGCCCCTGATCACGGACATCCTGGCGGCGCCCCCCTCTGTGGGTGTGGACATCAGCCGGGAGGAGAGGTGAGGGGCCAACAGGGTGCCAGCGTTGGGGCGTGGGGGTACACAGGTGTGGGCGCCCAGCCTGCTTGTTGAGGAGGAGGTTGTGCCGGGGACAGGGGCTGGGGGTGGCTGAAGCCGGGGCTCTTCCGTGGCCTGGCTCTGCCCTGCGCCTTGGCGTGGCCGGGGTGGGTCGCGCATCCGGGGCCTCGGCCTGCCTCCCAGAGGAGGGGGGTAGCGTGGTGGGGAAGGCCCTCGCACCTGTGCCCGACCTCTGTGCCCACAGGCTACACAAGTGCCGACTCTGCTACAAGCAGCTTAAGAGCATCAGTGGCCTCGTCAAGAGCAAGTCGGGTTTGAGTGGCCGCCACGGCAGTGCCTTCCGAGAGCTGCACCTGCTCATGGCCAGTTTGGACTGAGGAGCGCTCGGGTCTGGCCTCAGCCCCCGTTCCTGTTCCCTGTGCTCTCCTGAGCCCGTGAGCCTCTGCCCGGCCCCCTCTGCAGCCCAGTGGCCATCCTGGAGGCGGCGGCTCTGGCCCACTGGCCACCTGCACAGCCCTGAGCTCTCAGACAACTTCTCCCTGGCAGCTGCTGCCCAGCTTGGCCAACTCCCGCTTCTTGGGGCAGCAAAGAGCACCCTGGGGCTGCTGCTGTAATTTATAAGGCGAATTTTATTAAATTTGTAACTATTCCCTGGTTTCTTTGCCTAGAGGGGCATTCTGTGGCCGCACAGCTCTCTCTGGCCCAGGTTGGCCTGCCTGGGCCCCTCAGAGACAGACGGCTACCCCTCCAGGCCTGAGGCAGTGTGGCCAGCAGGGGGCAGCGGAGTGCCAAGCCTGCAGGAAGGGGCAAGCTCAGGGCACTGCGGCGGGGAGGTGGTGGCAACTACCCCTTTCGTGGCTGAGGGAGACAGATGAGGGGCGGGCCCCACCAGCCCATCCCCTCTGTCTCAGCCACACTCCCAGCTGTCCGGTGGACGCCTCCAGGGCCAGCCGGCAGCTGTATACTTCCTGGTGCCAGGACCCCAGCCTCGCAGGCTTGGCCGCCGGAGCCCACCACCCTCCCTGCCGCCCTCCCGGAGGCCTCCAGGGACAGGGGCAGCGGCCCTCTCCTCCAGTGAGGGCTCTGACCAGCTTTCCCTCCCCGCAGGATCGGCCAGTGCGGATCCCTTCTGTTCCTGTGGCAGCAGCTGGTAGATTTGCCGCAGTTGGAGAGAGGGCCCCACTGAGCCCCTGTGCGCATTCCCCGCCAAGGCCGAGACCAGGTGCAGGCCAGCACAACCCCCATGGTGGGGCGGGGGGCGGGGTGTCACTGAGCTTGTGCTTGAGGGGGGTCTTGTAGCACTGGGAGGAGGGGGGTGCTCACCTACAGCCAGTTCACGACGGGCAAGGCCAGGGTCTAAGGCAGGTGGGGGAGCCAGGCCAGGCCTGCGGGCTGTGGTTCTCAGGCCAGTTTCCCAGCTATAGCATAGCGTGTTGCTGGGTGGGTCAGTCTGACCAGGGGCTCAGGAGACCAACTCTTGCAGACTGTACTTGTGTAAAAAGGTTTTTATTTTAATAAGTAAAAATGGCTAAGCTTCCAAAAGTTCTTAAATAGGATTTCAGAGGGGGAAAATGGCAAGAGGCCAGTGAGCAAGGAGAGAGCCTGGTGGCAGGCTGACGAGGGGAACAGCAGAATCCCTGCCCACTGGCCTCCCGCCAGCCATAAATATAGCCCGGCCTCCTATGTACACCTAGGAATACTATATACAAACCGAGCACGGGGGCCTGCCTTGGAGGGGAGTGGGGCCAGGGCTGCTCCAGGATGCCCACCAACTGCCCAGATCCCATGGTCCCTGTGCCTTCCGGGGGGGCTCCTCAGCCCACCCATTAGAGACAGGGCCAGGCCTGGGGAGAGGCTGGGAGAGGCCTGGCCTGCCAGGCGGAGTGGGCCATCCCTGCCCTTCCAGCCCATGCCTTTTGCACCCACAGCCACTGCCAGGAGACACCATTTCCTTCTGACCAGGTTTTCTCATCTCTGAGCAGATACGAGGCAGAAGGGCTGCCTCCGCTCTGGCCTGCAGCTCCTGGGCTCCTGTTGCTACAGCAGGAGCAGCCCGGCAAGGCCTCAGGCCCCCGTCCCCGGGCTGGCAGGGGGGCCACGTCTGTCACACAGGCACCGGCCTGGACTTCCCTGCAGGAGGGGGAGAGAGGCTTCGTGAGCCTCGGCGTATGCAGACGGGAGGGAGCCAGGCAGAAGCACATAGACAGCAGGGGCAGTAGGACAGGCCCCGCCCTGAGCAGCCCTCTCCCCACACAGCCCTGCAACCCAAGGGGGCCAGGCGGGGGGGCTGGCCCCACACTCACCTGGAGACTGCAGCCCCAGCCGTCAGGCTGAAATCAAAGCGACAGGTGTCTCACTGGTGGGCTTTCCTGGGGCCAGGACTCCCCGGGACCCTAAGGCCCCTGCCTCCTCGGATCCAGCCCTGGCCAGGCCCCTCTGTGAGTGGGACCACACAGGGGGCTGGGCTCACTCCTCACCTGGGACATGGGTGGGCCCTGTGCCCCACCCTCCCCAGAAACCAAGGGCCAGGGCAGGGGTGCCTGGCCCGCTTTGGGAGATGTGTGGCTTGAGCCCAGCCTCAGAGAATTGCATCCTGGGCCTCAAGTTAGGAGCCCCAAGGGCTGGGTTCCTCCTCACACTACTCCCTCTCCAAGGGGCCTTTGGTTTTCCCATCTGTAAAATGGGCCTAGCGCTGCCTGCCCTAACTACTTCCCAGGGCCAGAGAAGGTTGTAAAACAGGGTCTGCATGAGTTTTACAAACTTAAAAAGGAAAACAAAAAGTTCATTCAGGCAAGGGCAGTCCAGTGGCTATCCACCCGTGGGGGGAGGCTCACCCCCCCCCCCACACACACACACTGGCCCACTCCCCAAAGGCTCACCCAAGGGCTGCAGCTTCCTCCGGATTGAGCCTGGGCGGCTGGTGGTCCCAGAGCCGGGGGCTGAGTGTGCTCGTGCTGAGGGCTGTGGGGTCTGGCAAGCTGGCTCCCACTGTGGGCAGGGAGCAAGCAGGTGGGCGGGGGCGATGCTGCCCTGGCTCCCCACCTCCACCGTGCTCCCCTCCCCCCGTTCCCCTCTCCAGCCTCCTGAAACTGCTCATCTGCAAAATGGGCATGATGAGGATAGCCCCGCCTCAGTTACTGCAAGAATTACCTGAGATACTGTATGTAAAGGAGGAAATGAGTTACTCCTGAGCACCTTTGTGCCAGCCTGCAGCCCCCCCCCGCCCCGGCCGCCTCCCCTCCAGCCAGCTGAGGACGGCCACGGTATTTCTGAGGCCAAGAAGTATTGAGACTAAAGAGGCTCCTGGCCAGGATTCCTGGGTGGCTCAGTCGGTTAAGCATCTGCCTTCAGCTCAGGTCATGATCCCAGGGTCCTGGGACCGAGCCCCGCATCAGGCTCCCTGCTCAGCGGAGAGTCTCCTTCTCCCGCTTCCCAGCCCCGTGCTCGTGCTCTCTCAAATAGTCATTAAAATAAAGAGAGGCTCCTGGGTTCAAGTTCTGGCTCCTCCCCCGCTGGCCCCTGGCCTCTTCCCTTCGGCCGTTCCCCACCCCAGACCCTCCCTCCTGCCCATGACCTGGACGTGCCAGCCCAAGATGCAGCTGTGGCGGTCACCATACCTCCAGATGCTCCTGGCTGGACCAGGACCCGAGCTCTGCCCTGCGGGACCCAGGGCCCAGCTCCACAGAGCGCACCCTCTCAGCAAACTTCAGGGAGTATAGCGTCTCGCTGGTGTTCTTCTCCACGGGGGACACCTAGGGGACACGAGAGCTCACTCCCCCATCCAGGCCAGCGGGCCTCCCCCTCAGAACTGGAGGGGGCAGCGTGCGCATGGACTTTGGAGCAACTGAGGACCAGGGTCCCTTCCCCGCACCGCCCGGGGTACGTGAACCACAGGCGAAGGGGGGCCCCGGTCGTGGTGCCGGCCACGCCCCGCCCCCTGCCGGCCAGCGCGCCTGGCCCAGTGGAGGGCCTCACCTGCACCACCATGAGCGTCTTGCTGTCCCCGCTGAGCGAGTCCTGCAGCAGGTAGGTGAGCTTGGAGTTGCGGAAGGGCACGTGGCCCTGGCGGGAGCGCAGGGCAGCAATGACATCCCCCAGGGCTGACAGCGACCTGTTGATGTGCTGGGCCTCCCGCAGGCGGCTGCCCTCGGCCCCCGACTTGCCCACGCGCTCCGAGCCCGCCAGGTCCACCAGGTTCAGCTTCCCTGCGGGGAGGGCGCCAGGCAGGTCAAGGCCGCCGCCGGGTGGGGGCGGGAGCCAGGGCTCCTCCGGCCGGGCGCCCCCAGCCTCGCTCACCCGTGGTGCGGAGGCCAGTGCTGCAGTCCACTCCGCGCACTGTCACGATGAGCAGGGCGTGCGAGCGGGAGCTGTGCTCGTTCAGGTTGGTGAACTCCGTCGTGCGGTTAGTGTGGCCGAACTCAAACACCTGGTGGGGAGCAGGGAGGCCTCTGGAATCACCCCATCCCTAGGACCCCTGGGAGGGGGTGTCCCCCAGGCCTGGGGACCTGGCAGAGGCTGCATCGGAAACCCACGCGTCCTGCTCCAGCTCGGCTTATGGGCAGGGTCTCCCCAGCGCGTCCCCGCCGCCCCCCCCCCCCAACCCCCAGCCTTGCACCTTGTTGATGTCGTCCACGCTCTGCACCTGGAACTCGGTCAGCCCCGGCACGTACAGCTGCCCGCTGCCGTCCGGGCAGAGCCGGATCTCCAGCTTCTCCTGGGGCTCCTGCCCCAGCAGGTCCCTGCAGGAACAGGGTGCACGGTCACTCCCTCCTCCCACTTCTGCCTCTGCTTGCACTGCACCCCACCCACCCCCTCCACCTAGAATGTTCTCCCACCCCATCACACCTTCAGGAAGCCTGCCTTAACCACTGGGCTAAGCCTCTCTCCTCTCTAGCTCCTGCCCTGCACTCAGTCCGCTGAGGGGCAGACTGTTCCCCAAAGGTCCCGTGGTGGCATTACTCCTGCCCCCACGGGGCACTGAGCTCTTGAGGGCAGGGCCCCCCAAATCCCCACTCTTGTTTCTCAGCACCCGGTGTAGCCTGCAGGGAGAATGGGTAGACTTGGAGGGAAAAGGAGCACCTGGGTCTGATCGGGGTGGAGCGAGCCCGGGGGGGTGGGGCAGGGGCCTGGGACCACCCAGCGCCGGGCTGAAGCAGGACACGGCCCCGACTTGCTCCCGCATGGCCGCACACGGCCCTCCCACCTGAGGGCCTCGTTGTAGATCTCGGCCGCGCTGACCGTAATGGTGTACTCCCAGGCCGACGCCTTCTCCTGCACCTCGGAGAAGAGCAGCTGTAGGGCCCGCTGGTTGATGCCGGGGTTCTCGGGGGTCCCCTGGGGGCAGAAGCAAAGCCCCAGTGAGCCATGCCTCTCTGATCCGCAAGGGGTGGGCCGTGCTGATGCTTGTGTGGGGTCTGTGGCCCCCTCCCCCTCTGACGACCACTCAGGCCAGCCACCCCGCCCAAAGCTTCCACCTGCCTCCTGGTCTGCCCCCAAACATCCTCTCCTAGCCGCAAGCAACGTCACTCTCTTGGGCCTCAGTTTCCCCCACCTTTCCATGGCACTGCCTTACCAGGACTAGCCTGAGACTCAGAGCAGAGCCCTGGGTTATGTGCTGCTGAGCGCCAGGCACATACTTGCTCCTGGGGGCCCCCTGGGAGGGGGCACTGGGAACCTACGACCTGCCTGCCGCCGCCCAGAGGGTGGCCCGTGTCAGGGAGGCCACGAGCTGGGCTCTGCGGGTGGTGGAAGGGGGGCACAGGCAGAGCCACAGTGCGGTGGCGCCAGATGGGCTGGCCAGTCCTTCTAGAAAGAAACCTGGAGTACTCACCTGAGCTGTCACCTCCCCTTATGTATCGCCCCTCACCCCCTTCCACTTCTGTGGCTCAGCCTCCTTGCCTCTGGCCTTGTGGCCTCAGCCCTGCTGATTCCCGTGCCTGGGATGCTCTTCCCCACAGGCCCCCATGGTTGGCTCCAATGTCACTTCCTCGGGCAGGTGGCTTCATCTTCCCTCCAAAGGCCTGATCCCTCCCTCACGGCTGATTCCTCATACTCGGCTTTAAGTTTCCTCCCTGGCACCTGACAGGACACCGCCTGATTTGTTGTGGGCACTGCTGTCTCCCCACTGGCGGGCGGCTCGGGGGGGCAGACACTCCGTGGTCACAGCTGTGCCCGGCCCCCAGAACAGCGCCCCGTGTACGTGGGCCTCGGCAGGTAATGTTGGAGGAGAGATGCTCCTGGAGGTCACCCCAACTGTGAGCACCCGAGAGAGTTAGGAGTCCACCCCTCCCCCCTCCCCTCCCCCCCACCATCTTGCTTGGCCTGCCCCCCACTAACCAGTCTCATCAATCCCAGAACTAGGGCAACAGCAGGGTCCAGACTGGGAAGAAAGAGCCACCATGGCAGTCTCCCCAATAGGTGCCCTGTCCAGACAATGGGACACCTGTCCTCACCCCCTCGCAGAGAACCCCACAGCACCCCCTCAAGAGCTGGGGAAATGCTAACAAACCAGAGACACCCCCAGGGACCACCTTCCATTTTTATCTACAGTTGAGATTCTTCCTCCTCTCAATGCTCCCTCTCCCGCCACTCCGCACCGAGGGGGCTTGGCCACAGGCCGGGAGATGAGGCCCTGCCCTGGCCCTGGCAGCAGAGACTGCCCTCATTCATCCTAACACCCCAGGGCCCAGCACCGGGCAGCTATACAGCAGGAGCCCAATAAATGCGTGGAGGGAAAATGAAAGCCCATCCCGAGAGACATACAGGTGGTCTGGCCTGGACTCGGACCTCGGGCGGGGATCCCTGTGATGCTGGAGTTTGTTGGCAGTGCATGTGCCCCGCCCCATGCCCGCCGGGACCGTCTCAGGTCCTCCTGGGCAAGGCGCCCCTCTTCAGGCCTGGTGCCTCCGGGCTATCACAGACGACTCCCAGCTCTGCTCCCGTACCGCCGGAACCCCGAAGCCACGAGGGCAGCAAGGGGGTGCTCCTCACCGGTGGAACCCCTGCCCCCTGCAGCGGGTACCCACCTCCATCGTGTACGTCTTGCCGGCACCCGTCTGGCCGTAGGCGAAGATACAGACGTTGAAGCCGTCGATGCAGGAGGTGATCAGGGCTTGCACCTCCTGGAACACCTGTGAAGGGGACGTGGGATGGAGATGGCGAGCCCCCCGTGGGCCCCCCACCAGCTCTAGGTCCTGCCACCTCCCCCGAGCGCGCTCTCCTTCAGCAGTAACACAGCAGGTACTGTTACTGGCAAGCCGCTCACCGTGGAAGAATTTGTGCCTAATGGGTCACTTACAACAGACCTCAGTGGGCAATCAGGGTGCCAAGCCTGAAGGGACGACAGGGCAGTGTCTCCTGCCCGCCAGCGCCTGAGGAAGGGCTGTCCGGCCCTGGAGCTCAGGGACCCCACCTCTAGCTTCTCCCACGCTAAAGGAGAGCTCGGCAAAATGAAGGCGGAGGCCAGCATGTGTCTGGCGCCTCCTGCAGCCTGTCTGCCTGCTAGCAGACAGAGGACGGGGCCAAGGTGAGGCCAAGCACAGGGACAGGCGGGACAGGCGGGACAGGCCTGGCCGGTCAGCCCTGGCAGAGAGGAGAGAAGAACGCGGCTGAGACCACGGGGCTCTGACGGGCTGAGGGCTCTGCAGGTCAGCGGGGGAATCCTAGGAAGACCCGCGGACTGAGTCCTGTGCTCCCGGCAGGGGAAGCAACGCCCCCCAGGGTCAGGTGGGCGGGCGGGGCTGTGTGTGTAGGAGGGGCTCCGTGGGTGGGAGGGGCCCTGTGGGAGGGCATGGGCACGTGGGTGGGAGGGGCCCCAATAGTGGGCGGGTCTGTAAGGATGGGAGGGGCCCAGTAGTGGGAGGGTCTATAAGGGTGGGAGGGGCCCTATGGGTGGGCATGGGCTCGTGGGTGGGAGGGGCCCCAATAGTGGGCGGGTCGGTAGGGATGGGAGGGGCCCCAATGGTGGGTCTATAAGTGTGGGTGGGCCCTGTGGGTGGGCATGGGCACGTGGGTGGGAGGGGCCCCAATAGTGGGTGGGAGGGGCCCCAATAGTGGGTGGGAGGGGCCCCAATAGTGGGTGGGGCTGTAAGGGTGGGAGGAACAGCGTAGGTGCCATAGGCTGTCCTTGAATCTCCGCCCTGCAGAGGCTTCTCAGCCTGTCTTAGCTTCCCACTCTCCTCTCCTCCAGTGGAAGAAGCGAGGCATTCCAGCACCCCAAGCTTCTCCATCCTGTCTCTCCCACTCTTAAAATTTCTTTCTGTCCATGCCCCATCATCTCTCCCTGTGTGAACCCCCCCCCCCTTACACTGCTCTGTCCATATCCCCACTCACGTCCTGCTGTGAGGCCCGCGGGGAGAAGACCTTGTCCAGCTCAAAGGATACAGGCTTTCCTTTGTGCAGCAGGTGGATGATGGAGTCGTCGTCGGCATCGAAGGTCACAGCATTGGTCGCATCGGGTCCTTCCCCGTCCTCTTTGGTGACTGGCCGGACACGAGCAATCACCCTGATGTTCCCTGGATTGTGTGGGGAGGATAGAAGGGTACATACAGGCTGGGTCAAGATGACTGCCTCCCCACTGGCGTCCTTTGGTGTCCTGGGCAGCCTGGTGGCTCAGGAAGCCCTAGCCTTCTGAGCAAGGCCACCCACAACGCTGTTATCAGTCACTCACACTATCATGAATTCATGTATCAGTACACTTTCTTCCTGGGCAAACCGGCTGAGATTGGGAGCTTCACGTTGGGGAAGGGAGGAAGGGTCAATTGTGGGGCTCAGGCACTGCCTCCACTCCGGGTGGGATACCAAATGGACACTCTGTATCTCTGGACTTCAGTTTCCTCTATAGAGTGAGGGGCGTGGGCCCCAGTAAGCCAAGAGACTTGTTCTGTCATGCTCAAAGGGCTTCGTGGACGCCCGGACAGGGCTTGGGAATCAGTTGGCAAAGAGAACCAGACAGCAGGTGGACGAGCAGCACATGGAATGGGGATGGGCAACAAGGCAGCTCTGGGGAGCCTGGGGGCGCAGACTCTGCCATCGCCTTGCTTCAAGCCCTTCCGCGGGATCTCAGTGCTCCTAGAATGAAGAACAAACTCCCCGCGACAGCCAGCATGCCCCTACCTTCCCCTTCACTGCACACTGCAACTCACTATCCAGGCCTCAGCTGCGGCTTCACCTCCTCCAGGAAGCCCTGCAACACCCCCCACTGTCAGACGCCGAGGGGCTCTTAGAGCCCCTCCCCCGTCCCGGTAACAGGGGCAGTGTCGGGGTTCTCCGGGTGGTTACAGATCACCGTCTGCTCCCCCAGCTGCAGTGAGCACTGTGAGGGCAGCAAGAGCCTCTGCGGGCCCACGGCCGTGTCTCAACGTCTGGAACAGCACCGGCAAGAGCAGCCCTCCCTTGCCCTCCGTGCCGTCAGCAGGCCCTTGGTCAGAACAAGCAGTCTTCCGGCCCCCCACCACCCAGGGCTTCCCTACCCCCGCTGGGCCCTCCCGGGGCCTGGGGGTGGCCTGCCGCGGGCACCGGGGTGAGGGCCTCAGAGTAGGACCGAACAAAGTGCACATCCAGGGTGGACCATCTGGTAGCCATGCGCGTTGCAGCCAGTCCCCTGACTTCTGTGGGCCCGGGGTTCCCTATCTACCGAGAGTGGGAGCTACAGTAGCCCCTCGGCGACAGGGTGCAGGCTCCAAGGCGTGGCCCTGGGCTGGGGGGAAGGGCAGCATCAGCTCGGAGCCAGGTTGGGGGCCCCGTGCCGGGGCGCCCGCAGCCTCCCCGCAGCCCTTACCTTTCAGCCGCACGAGCTCATTGTGGCACTTCTTACGCAGCTGCAGCTCCCGGCGGTACTTGCGCAGGAGCTCCTGGTTGTGGCTGTTGACCTCCTCGATGGCCTGGCCGATCTGGCAGGGGGGCGCACAGCGCTGTCGGGGGCTGGCTCCGCCAACCCGGCTTACCACGCTGCCTGCACCCCCGCTCCTGCCCTGGGCTGAGTCCTTGATGCGTGCTGTCACATGTCAGCTCCTTCCAACAGCCCCCGTGGGGACGTACGGCCGCCAGGCCCATTTCACAGAGGAATAAACTGAGCCTCAGAGAGACTAAGCCAGTGGCTCAAGGTTGCGCTAACGACGCAAACAGCCAGGACTCCGCCCTCACTCCCCAGGACTAGCACCTGACTATAATATGATTCAGCCGGAACCAAATTCCAGCTCTACCCCTGAGCAGCTGGGAGACCCAAGGCAACTAGTTCAGTCATCACATCTCATTTTTCTCATCTGTAAAATGGGAATGACACCATTTGGTCTGTGGATTGGTAGCACCTGGGCGGTAATGATCTCCAAGTCACACTTCATAGGGGAAAGCAGCAAAATGCAGACCACAGGTGCAGATGTTCCCCTCTGTTGGGTAGAAGGGTGTGTTTCTGCACCCAAATACACCCACAGGCTTCAGGAGCTCAGAACGCCCGGTGGGGGGGCGGCGATCCTGACAGACACTACCTCTGGGGATCGCGGGCCAGGGAGGCAGAGAAGGTCCCCTTCCTTTTCATCTGATGCCCTTGTGCACGGCTTGAACTTTCTACTATGTCCATGTGTTGTTGACATAATTTTTCTACAGAAAAAGAACGATTTTCTATTCTGGAAATACATCAGTCTCTCCACCCTGCAGGGCCGCGCTACCGATTCAAGGAGCTGACAGCTATAAAAGGCTTCGCATGTAGGAGGCACTTCAGAGAGGCTGGTTATTCTCATGCTGTATAAGCACAGCTTAAGAAAATTAAAACCGATGTAAGAATATATGTAGCATGTTTAAAATACAAGGATATATGTTGCATGCTTGGTTTAAAGAGTCATAATAAGGGCGCCTCGGTGGCTCAGTCGGTTAAGCGCCTGACTTGATTTTGGCTCAGGTCATGATCTCAGGGTCGTGAGATCGAGCCCGGTGTTGGGCTCTGCGCTGGCCATGGAGCCTGCTTAGATTCTCTCTCTGCCCCTCCTCCCCCCAACTCTAAAAAAATAAAATAAAAAATAGTCATAAGAGGAATACTGAAATACCTGCCCCTGACCAGTCTGTTTTTCAGTCTGCGTGAGTGGGGGGAGGAGAGCTGTTGCCTGGCGGCTTGGCTGCATTTTGGAATGGAGCCCTGGGCTCCAGGGCCTCTCCGGGCCTCTCCGAGCCTCCCCGGTCCGCTCGGCCGCGCGCCGCACTCACCTCGGCCTTGACGCTCTTGAGGGCCTCCTGCAGGAGCAGGGGGAAGCCGCGCACCTGCCGCTTGAGCCCATTGTAGTCGTTGGTGAGGGTCCGCAGCGCCGGCTGCAGCGTCAGCAGATTGGTCCGGACCCCTTGGGGCGCATGAGAGGTGTGAGGGGGACAGGGGGAGGGGCTGCAGCAGGGGAGAGGGCGGGGCCCAGGCAGCCGGCTCACCTGCCAGGTTCTCGTGCACAGCCTTCATCTCTACCTGGGCTCTGGCAAAGGCCTCCTCGATGGCCCGGTTCTTGTCTTCCTCCAGGGACTGCATCTCCTCCAGCATCTGCCCGTGCGCCCGCTCCAGCTCTGACTCGTACATGGCGATCTGACGGCCCAGGCCAGAGGCTCAGCGTGGGGCTCGGGAGGCAGGGGGGTGGGTGCCAGAAGGAAGGCCCGCGCCTTACCCCACACGCGCACGTGAGCGAACGGCGCCCCCCACACGTCGGCACAAACACACACACGGGAGGGGGCAGATGGCCATCTCGCTCCCGGAAAGGTCTGTGAGCTCCGTGCAGCTCCTTCCTCCATCCTGGCCCATGACTGGTGCACAAGCCACAGGCCCCAGGAGAGCAGGGGAAAGCACTTGTTGCAGTAGTGACCGGGGCCCCTTCCCGAGAACGTGTGTGCTGGGCCCTGTGTGAGGAGACTCGGGATCATGTCCCCGGGCGCGCGGGAGGTGCGTTCTGCAAGCACACCCGTTTACAGAGGAGGAAACAGAGACGTAGACAAAGCCTGGCCCGGGTCTCACAGGCAGCAGGGAGAGAAGGGCCTGGAACCCAGGTCCGTGGGCCCGCCGCGTGCTGACCCGCTGCCCTGTACTGACGCTGCCTCTGCGGGCTCCCCCCCGGTGCCCCCCGCCGGCGCCCCCGACCCCCGGCGGCCTGCGCACCTGCGCCCGGAGCTGCGCCGTCAACTGGTGTGAGCTGTGCAGCTGCTGTTCCATCTCCTTCAGCACCTGCCTCTGCATGGCCACCTGCTCCTGCAGGTGCTGGTTCCGGGCCTGGGACTCGCTGAGGGCCTGCTTGGCCTTGGACGACTCCACCTCCACGGTCCTGATGACGTACTGCGGGGGGGCGGGCGGGACAGGCCCGTGGAGGTGCGAGGGTGCCTCGGCCCGACCCTGGGGACGCAGCTGGCCGCAGGAGGGGACCCTCAGGGACATCCCACCCAGAGCGCCCAGAAGAAAACCAGAGGAGCTTCAAGGTCCTGGCTTTCCCGGGCGCTGCAGGGCCTCCGGGAATCCTGTCATTTCAGTAAGCCCAAGAGCCTGGCTGCGGCCCCAGCCGGGGCACAGAACCGACAAGAAGGGCCAAGACGAGGGCAGAATCTCGCGATGCCCCACACCCATGGCCGGCAGGCGCGGGCACCTCAAGCCTCGGGCGCCGGATGCCCGCCTACTACGTGACTGGCCCTGGACGGCAAGAAGGGGGAGGAGGGGCAAGACTGAGCCCCGACCTGGGACGATTCCTCCAACCACTTGCCCTCACTCATTCACCAAGACAAGCCCCCTGCTCGGTGCGGCCCCGCCCTGGGCGCCAGGGGCCAAGAGGGCAAGGGTCCCGCTCGTGGCCACCGCCGGAGGCTCACCTTGATGGGCGGCGACTGGGCCCGCAGGCTGGCGATGGTCTCGTGGCTGTCCCGCAGGCGCCGGCTCAGCCGCTCCTCCTCCTGCGCCTTCTCGGCCAGGCAGTCCTTGAGCCTCAGCTCGACCTCGGCCAGCCGGTCGGTCTTCTGCTGCACCTCCAGGTTCAGCTCGGACAGCATGCCCTTGTTCTCGGCCACCTCCAGCTGTAGTTGCGACAGCTTGTCCCGGAGCTGGGCGCTCTCCTGCAGGTGGTTGGGGGGGGCGGGACAAGGGTGCAGCAGACAGAGGGAAGGACAGACGAGCAGGCAGGGGTCACCACGAGGAACCGGGGTTGCCGTTCGGGACCCAGCCCTCCGGGAGCAGCTGGGGCCGGCCGGCCCGCTCACCTGGCTGTGCTCACAGCCCGCGCAGGGGGCCGCCGCCTTGGCCCGCAGCTCTTGCACCTCGGCCTCGAAGCGCCGCATCTCCTGCCTCAGCCGCTCATTCTCCACCACCAGCAGGTCGCGGTGCTTCTCCAAGTCTGTGCCCCCCTGCAGAGAGCCAGGGCACAGGGGGCGCATGTGGCCAGGGCAGACCTGGGAAGCAAAGAGTGGGGAGGCGGAGAGGGGACAAGGGGCAGGGGAGAGAGGAGGAGAGGTGGAGAGAGAGGAGAGAAAGCAAAAGGCAGGCAACGGAGGGAAGAGAGCAGGAGCTCAAGAGGGACAGAAGGCGAAGACAGAGGAGAGAAGGGGAGCCGGAGGGACGGCCTTCACCCGCCCCTCTCATTCTATTTTCCTGAGTGTGAAAGTAACAAGAAAGTCGTATTTATACACAGAGTTCACACTCCTATTTTACATCAGCAGACGAGAATTAACCTCTCTCCCTTTGGGGTCACACGGTCTCTGAGGGCCTAGTGAGTGGTGACAAGTATTCGGGGAGCATCTCCCTGGCCGAATTGCAGTCTGCTGGGCGTAGATGTGGCCCCCACTTGGGCTGGACATGAGGGCTCTGGAGAGATGGGGTCCCACACCCCATCTGGCAGGGTCAGTCTGCACAAGGCCAGGTCAGCCCCCCCCAGAAACCCCGACCTTAAGACATAAGTGTTGAGCCTCACCAGCTCTGATCGAAGGCGGCTCACTTCCTGGGCCTGGCTAATGAGCTTCTCCTTCAGGTTTTCCACCTGCCGGCACAAAGCCACGGTCACGGTGAGCCTCGTTCCTCACCTCCGCCACACCTCTGCCCCTGCCCTCCCTGTGTTCAAGCATCAGGGCACCTGGGACTCCAGGTGAGAGACACCTGCCCCGTGCCAACAGCCTTCAGCACCCTCACCTGCCACAAGACCCAGGTAGCCTGGGCTCTCAGGAAAGTGGGGAGCAAGCACAGCAGAGGTGACCCCTGCACCACTCTGAGCCCACGCCAGACTCAGGAGGCCGACCCTCAGGACCCGTGCCTTGCACCGGTCCTTGCCGTGGCCTGTGTCTACTTAGGTATTTGTAATTTTATATTCTTTTCCTTGAAAGAATTGTATAAAGTCGACGCTGCAAAACCTAGATCGGTCTTTGCCTAGACCCTAGATTCTTCCATTCAAGGGGTTCCTGGCAAGTGAGCCTGTGCAGACAGGTCTACCAGCAACGAGGGCGCATCTCAGACCTGTGTCCCCCCGCCCCCACCCCCAGCTCCCAGTCTGCCTTGCTGGAGAGCTGGGGCCAGCAGAGAAGGGGGTGCACACCCCGTCAGGAGGCAGGGGTGGCCTGGCTCAGCCAGAGCCTGGGGCAGGGGAAGCCACCACGTTGCCAACACATCCCAGGACAGTGGCCCTCCCCCAGAGCTGTCCTCCGGCTGGCCGCCCTCCCTGCCGGCCCCAGACCCTGATTCCGCATCAGCTCCCCTCTGGGAACCTCTCGGGAAGTAACCCAAAAATGCGGCCGAAGACCTTGGCACCACCAGTGTTCCTCCGTGCATGTTTGGGGGTCTTCTTGCAGAACATTCTGTGATGCCCGTTCCTGACTGCACCTCACCTTGAGAAGGCCCAGTGAGAGTCAGACTCCCTCTGTGGGGGGCTAGGAGGTGGGTTTTACCCAAGCAGGCCACGAAGCCCTGGGTTCTTATTACTAAGCGACAGCTGACGAAGTCTGTGGCCTGCAGGGGCCGGGCCAGCCAGGTAAGGCAGGTGAGGGGCAGCACAGGTCTCCCCGGAGGAGGCAGCCACGGCCAGGGACACGCAGGCCCACATCTCCAAACTTCTGATCTTTCAGGAGAGGCCAGATGTTGGGATGCTGGGGTGTGTCGCAGCTCCCCATTTTACATGGCTGGGATGCCATCCGAGGTCTGTGGGGCACACTCGGTCTCCCGGGGCGGGAGAGGGTGGTCTCTGCTCCTCCGAGCCAGCCGGTGGGGGGAGGAAATGGAGCGACAGACCAGGCCTGCGCCGCTCCAGCGTCCCCTTCCGTTAAGAGCCTGGCGTGAGCAGCGCTCTGTTCCTCCGGCCTCCAAGCCCAGTGAGCGAGGGATAGCTCGCAGAAGGCAGCAGGTTACTCCTTAGCCGTGAAGCTGGGAGTAACCTCGATACCCAGCATTAGGGGAATGGTTAGGTAAGTCGCGGCGAGTGCTCACGCAGACTGCTATGGTTCCGGCTGTGTCTGTCACAAGTTTTAAGTGACCTGGAAGAAGACTCCTCAACATACTAAGTCAAAAATCCCGAAACAAAATTGTGAATGCAACACCACAAAGCGGAGGTCTCTGGACTGTACAATTATGCCTGACAAATTCCTTGTGCTTCCAGGCAATTTTTAAGTCTCAAATAATATGCATTCCTCTCACACTTCGCCATCCTGAAATAGGTGGGTCTACCTCCCTTTGAAAGGTTGGGGTGCCTCTGCCCCCCCGCTTCCTTCCCTCAGAAATCGCCCCGGGAAGACCCACTTGCACTGAGCAGGTGCCCCAGACAGGCCGCTTCCTCAGCGCCGAGGTGGGTGCGCCCCGACCTCGCTCGTCCCTCATGCCACCAGCGCACAGGCCCTATGCACGAAAGCGGGGTTTTCCAGTGCTCCCTCGGGGGGTCAGGATGCCCGCCCGCCGCCCAGGCTCCAGCTCCCTTCTTGCATCACAGTCTGAACTCTGGATGCTCCCGGGCTCTGCCTGGAACGTCTGAGGGGTGCCCCAAAAGGAAGGGGCCGCAAAAGGCTGGGGGCGTGGGTGGGGGGTCGAGCAAGAGGCTATAAAAGGCTCTTCGTCAGAGGTGTCAGTCATCTCCTGGCTCGTCTCAGACAGGGGGTGCAGGGGACACGGGCCACCAACACCGCAGGGTGGCCCGGCAGGCCCGCCCCATTTGGGGCCGGGGAATGAGAATGTGCACTGCTCGGGCGCGGGACGGCTGCCCTCCACCCAGACGGCTCTGCTTCGGGAGCGGTGAGCACAGAGAGTGGGGCGCTGGGGGTCAACCGGACCGGAGAGCAAGGCCTTCCAGGGGAGAGGGCCCCTGTAGGCATCCCTTCACACACCCTCCCCAGCTCTGAGTCAGCGGCGGCGCGCTTGCATCTGGAGGCGAGGAGGGGAGGGACCTTCTCTATTACCCGTCAGACGCCCCAGCCCCAGCAGGCGACCCCAGCAGGTGACCGACACACAGTAGATACTCAATAAACACGTGAAGTAACGGAAGAAGAGCAGCGCACACACTCCCACGGGTGGAGAGCCAGGCCAGAGGAGAAGCAGGCTCCTGGCGGGCTGCCATTGTCAACCCCAGGGCTGAGGAAGGGGCCAGGCTGGGCTTGTGCAACATCCCTGCCCCGGCCCAGGCTCCCGGGCAGCCGGAGAAACTGGGTCGTGGGCCTGGGGCAGAGGACCTCAGTGGGAGCGGGGGGCCGGGGCCTGTCTGGCCCAAAGCCGCATTCCCATCTCTCAGCAGAGGCAGGCGCTGAAGAGGGTGGGGCCGCCCTGAGCAGGTCCATGTTCTCAGCTGTCTGCTCCCATCAGCCCAGACAACCTGCGGACGACCTCCCCGGCTCCCACCAGGCCCTGCTCATGGTCACCGGCTATCTTCTGAGGAAATGGCAAGACCAAGGCGTGGCTGAGCTGAAAAGGCAAGAGGTCCTGGGACCCAGAACACCCCAAGGAAAGAGAGGCCAGAGGGGCAGCCTTGGGAAGCACCCCATCCTGTCCCCACACACGCGCCCTCGCAAGACACCTGACTCGTGGCCACATGAACACTGACTGTGCCCATCTGGCCCCATCCACCCTGCCCTGCCCACTGCCAAGTTTGCACATTCGAGTCCTTCTGCCACTGAGGGGCAGTTGAGCACATGGGTTCTAGGGCCGGACTGCCCAGCTTTCTTTTTTCCTTTTTTTTTAGAAAAGTAAAATATTTTATTTTGTATTTATAATTTTTTTTTAAGATTTTATTTATTTATTTGACAGAGAGAGACACAGCGAGAGAGGCAACACAAGCAGGGGGAGTGGGAGAGGGAGAAGCAGGCTTCCCGCGGAGCAGGGAGCCCGATGTGGGGCTCGATCCCAGGACCCTGGGATCATGACCTGAGCCGAAGGCAGACGCTTAACGACTGAGCCACCCAGGCGCCCCTTGTATTTATAATTTATAAATCTCCCAAAGTTTCCAAATATTTGCCATCTATCTAATCTATCATCTATCTATCATCATCTATCATCTATCTACCTATGTTTATTTTTTTATTATGTTATGTTAATCCCCATACATTACATCATTAGTTTTAGATGAAGTGTTCCATGATTCATTGTTTGCGTAGAACAACCAGTGGTCCATGCAGAACGTGCCCTCCTTAATACCCATCACCAGGCTAACCCATCCCCCCACCGCCCTCCCCTCTAGAACCCTCAGTTTGTTTCTCAGACTCCATCGTCTCTCATGGTTTGTCTCCACCTCCGATTTCCCCCCTTCATTTTTCCCTTCCTACTATCTTCTTTTTTTTTTTTAACATATAATGTATTATTTGTTTCAGAGGTACAGGTCTGTGATTCATCAGTCTTACACAATTCACAGCGCTCACCATAGCACATACCCTCCCCAGTGTCTATCACCCAGCCACCCCCCATCCCTCTCACCCCCCACCACTCCGGCACCCCTCAGTTTGTTTCCTGAGATTAAGAATTCCTCATATCAGTGAGGTCATATGATACATGTCTTTCTCTGATTGACTTATTTCGCTCAGCATAATACCCTCCAGTTCCAGCTTTCTAATACAGACATCACCCTGCCCCCTGGATAACCGTGGAGAAGTCTCCACATGGCCATGCCTCTTTCTTTCCTCATCGGGACAAGGAGGCTACTCCTGGGAGGATGTCTGGAGGATTAGGTGAGATTAAATAAGATAATACACATAAATCACTTAATGAGTTCTATTGTTAGCATGAAGGTCCCTGAAGGCAATATTTGTCTCTTGTGTGGGCTCCTGGTACGCAGCAGGTGCTCAGTAAACGCATGTAGAAAGAATGCTGAATGCACGAGGGGCTAGGCCGAGCAGAATCTCTGCGTGAGGCTGTCAGGCAGGACGTGGGGCAGGAGGGGTGCTGGAGGCCGGGGCACCACGGGGGAGTCAGAGGAAGGACGCTCACTTCTGCCAAGGGCAGGACTGCTCCTAAGCTCCACATAGTGGGTGCCACATGGGAACGGCAGCCCAGAGATGCCACGTCTTCCAGTATTTTCTGACAAAATAGGAGGTCCAGATTTTTATGTGAACTTAACTCAGGTTTAAAAATTGACAGCTAGGGCGCCTGAGTGGCCTAGTTGGTTAAGCATCTGCCTTCGGCTCAGGTCATGGTCCCAGGGTCCTGGGATCAAGCCCTGCATCGGGCTCCCTGCTCAATGAGGAGTCTGCTTCTCCCTCTGCCTCTTCTCTCTGCTTGTGATCTCTCTTGTTCTCTCAAATAAATGAATAAAATCTTAAAAAAAAAAAATTGACAACTAATCTGATTACTAAAAAAGCAGGCCAATTAGAACTAATAAACAAACTCAGCTAAGTCACAGGATACAAAATCAACATGTAAAAATCAGCTGTTCTTCAGGATGCCTGTGCGGGCTCAGTTAGTTAAGTGTCCAACTCTTGGTTTCGGCTCAGGTCATGATCTCAGGGTCGTGAGATCGAGCCCTGTGTCAGGCTCTGTGCTCAGCACAGAGTGTGCTTGTCCCTCTCTGTCCTCCTCTGCTTC